ATATTTAGGCACCTCAGCTTGAGAGGATTTGAAAATATTTTCTGTTTCACACAATCAAAAGCCTTAGAGGCACCTTTTGTTGAATTTGCTGTAATATTATTATTTTCATCCAGAGCACACAACCTGGAGAATAAAAAGCATACATTTAAAAACTGAATTTTATAACAATGTTTCCATTTGCTTTGAACTATAAAATGAGATGAGCGGCGATAAATGCTGTAGAGGGCGCTCATGTGCCTGGGACTGAGCATGACGTCACAAACTGTCTGAAAACATGTGAAACAGAACATTTCAGGCTGCTGTGGTCAGAACAGCTCCTCAGCGTTTGTTTGAGCAAATACATTATAAACAGCTGATCMTCAGTCAGGAAACTCAACAGATAAGATTTTATCAAGTTAGAAAAAATAAAAATCATGCATGCTTGTGCTTTGAGGCGATCGTGTTTTTATTTTTTCACGATATTTATTGCTTCATGTTTGGTTCTTTTGTTTAGCAACTTTGAACAAATGAAGAATCAACCAAACTTTTCTTGGTTCATAAACTGAAATTCTTTGTTGTTTCATCAGATTTTGTGATTTTAGCCCTCCTGCTATGTGTTGTGTTAAAATGACCCACAAAGCTTTAGTTTTAAACCAAAGCCCCTTTGAGTCATTTTGACCTAAGTGCAGCTGGAGGGTTAAAAAAACTAAAGAGCTGGTGCTCAGGTAGGTACGATTAAAGTTCTCCTGCCCCACAAATGATATGGTTTCTGTTTCAACTTCACAATCCAACAAGAAAACAGACATTGCATTTTATTTTTCATTGTTTAATATTATCACCTAAAACACTTWGCTTAACAGATACTATTCCATGAATGAAGACTGCCAAGGTGCTTTCCTTAAACATTTAGACAGAGGCCTTGTTTTATAATCCAAGTTGTTGAGTAAAATACAGTGAAATCAATTTAAGAAGCTTATTTTATTTAATTTTATTTATTATTTATTTAATTTGCTCTTTGAATCCATTAAACGCACTGTAAATTATTTGCTAAGCAAGTTTCGTCAACAAAGTGAATAATGTCTTTGAGTGTACGTGGATTGGGTTATTAAAAGATGTTTTTGTTAAGTCTGCTAAGATGTAATTTCTTATTCATTTATAGGTTTATTGGTACAGTTTTATCATTTTTAGATTTACTATTTTTATTTGGTGGTGTCATTTTGCTTTTACATTAGTGCCATGTCAAATTTATTCATTTACATCATTTTATTTGTGTATTGTGCTCTTTTAAATTCCTATTTTGCAACATAAAAATGTTTCTTTAGAGTATGGAAGAATTTAACCCATGAAATGGTAAAAATGTAAAAAAAAACAATAAAATAAAATAAAACAGAAAGTGTTGTTTCATCGTTGATAAAATGCAAAGAAAAAGAGACAAGTATTTTCTGAATATTTTATATTTATTGGCTTTATTCATCAAACCCTCTGGTTTAAAGGAGACAAAGGTGATGGAATGCAGTCGATCCTCGTTCAGGTCCTGGGTTGTTTAGCGATACCTCTCGGACAGAGCCAGGGCCAGGTTGTTCAGGAACTTGTCGACGGAGACATGGACCTCAGGGGTGAAGTCAGCAGGGAAGTACATGGCCAGCACCAGGATGATGTTATGGGCCAGGATCTGTCAGAGGAGAAAGCCACATTAACCTCAGGTCTGAAACAAAAGCCTGCCTATAAAGTTTGATAGTAATTTTTTTTTGTTTGTTTGTTTTTTTTGAAGGCCATGGGTCTTACCCTGAAGTTAGCAGGGTCCACTCGGAGCTTGAAGGCATGCAGCTCGCTCAGTTTGGACAGGGCACCAGTGAGGTCATCGATCTTTCCCACGGCCTCTCCAACGGCTSCCATGATGGTAGCTCCGTGCTTCTTCACCTGAGCAGAGTCAGGGCTCAGATCGGACCAGTGAGAAAAGTAGGTCTTGGTCTGAGGGTAGGAAATCAGCATCCTGGGAAGCACAAACAAGGAGAAGTCATTACATGTWAAACTTGTTGAATTGTTAGTATCATTACTTACAAATGAGTGGTCTTTTTAAACCCACCTGGCCAGAGCTTCAGCCCCAATATCAGCGGCCTTCGGGGCAGCTTTGTCCCAGAAAGCCTTCACCACACTCTTGTCCTTTCCAGAGAGACTCATGTTTGCCTTTTCTCCAAGTTTTCTCAACTGAAGACTATGAAAATGCTTGTGAAGAGGATTTATAACTGTCTTTGTTTTATATGGAGCCAAACTGCACCACACCCAGCATCAAATCTAAGCTCCACCCCCTTYGATAGAACTTTCCAGACGTTTTCTATAATTCTTGAGATAAGTCGCCCCTCCCAGACCTAAAAGCATTTTTATACATTATTTATTTATTGTAGCTCTAAAAAGCAAACATAATTTTATACTTTTTTCTTTATGAAGCCATATTGATTTTTAAAACACATTTTTTTATGTGTGAAATGTTTTTGTGTATGATTTTAACAGTTTTTCAGAAATACTT